TGCTGTATCAGTGAGGAGTGTTACAGACGTGTAATTGAACCAAAAAGATAGTGCAGTTTCTTGTAAAATGCAGTGCCCTTTTATTCAGTAGAGTTACGTGACTTCTCTCTTCATCATCTTGGCACACATTCTTTCGTAGCATTTCTGAAACCCAGCCTCTTCTTTTTGTTCATGCAATTAAAATTGGTGTTCCTGCCTTTCTCATCTTAGCATGACAGCTTCTATCTGTCCATTATTTCTGGGCATTTTGCCAGTCAAGTCAAAACAGACCTATTTGTAAACAGAGCTGCACTCATCATTGGAGGCTGTTAGCCTACTGCAAACATCAACAACCTTCTCGGAGTGCTTTATTTGCCCTCCTTGATCAGCAGTGGCTTACTGTTCAACTAGTCCCTTAGAAGGTTCCTGTCAACCTCTGTTTCTACTTCCTTGGTCTCGGTTACTGATTTTTTTCCTTGAAGCACTGCAAATGTTGGACTTGATGATCTTAAAGGTCTCTTCCAACCTAAAGGATTCTATGAAATCACTTCTACAAGTAGTTCTACTGTGATGCTTTAAATAGTACTAAGATACAAATTCAAAGTTGAACAGTAGTCTTTGTTGCATTAAAGGAACCTTTTAGGACAGTCCATATAATCGGGCAACTTTGCCACAAATCCCTCCTTGTTTTCTCCTTCCCCTTAATTTTTTTCCTGTTTGTTGCATTTTGTGTTTACACAGACTGTGAACTGTTTTTTGCTTCTTTGATCTTTGAGTACCGTGTTCCACAATGCCAATATGTAATGACTGGGTATCTGCTTGAATGTTGTTCTTCTGTGCAAGTCAGTCAAAATACAGATGCAGCTTGCTAGGTTTCAGTATTTCTGAGTACCATAAAGGAGATGAAGAGTGTATATATAGTTAGCAGTGTAAGCACTGGGGAAGCCTTTTAAAGGTCATTTGAAATTCCCAATAGGACAAGAAGAAAGGACCTTTTACCTTCTTTTAAAGGTGTTTATGAGAGCGCTTTTCTGCTATAATCCCAAAGAAGACAGAGCTATTCCTTGCCAGGAGGCTGGGCTCCCATTTAAGAAACGGCACATCCTGGAAGTTGTAAGCCAGGATGATCCCACGTGGTGGCAAGCAAAGCGTGTTGGAGATACCAACCTCAGAGCAGGCTTGATCCCCTCAAAACAGTTCCAAGAAAGGTTTGTCAATGGAGATTACTGATTTATTTTTTTTTCCACCTATGGTGTCACACTAATTTTATGCTGCTTTTTTTCTGCAGGAAGTAAAGGGCAGGATCATGCCAGGGTGAATACCATATACGTAGAGGAAAGTGCTAAGAAGTTCCATCTTCTCTAGTTAGTTAATAAACTTCCTAGCTTTCCTCGGGTAGTTTGCCATTGACTTATGCTTTGTAGCATGGCAACAGAAGCAGTTGCTAAACAAACATTTATCAAATGAAATGTGGAATATCAGTCTCTCTTGACCCTCCTGGCTTATGGAGACCCTATATCTCATAGACTTTTACTGCTGTAATGTGAGAGGAAATGCTGATTTACTGTAACAATTTTGAATTTAGGCATGCAGTGATAGTAAAAAACAAAGTGTATCTGGTCTTTCTTCTGGCTCCTAAGGTGGTATTTTGCTTGGACCTGGATAACATTCTAAAGCTGGAAGTTTCTCTGTTTTCACAACAAGTTATGTGTAACTTCTAGAGCAAAAATATCCTTCAAGTTTTGTGCTTGCAGTACCGAAGTCTTGTATTTAAGGAGGAATCTGATTTAGGCAACTGGTCTCATTGCATGTTTGTTGTTCTGGGGTTGTGGGTTTCTTACTCCAGATTACTGGATGTGTTATCTTCGGGTTGTAGGCATTACAAAGATGTGGTATCTGAGACCTAAACAGGTCTGATTCTGTTGCTGACCTCCAAGAATTACATAAGGTTTCTAATAGAGGACTTTGTTCCACTAGATGAATGCTTCTTTGAAATACAAGGCAGATTCTGCCTAAATGGCTGCATCCCTCTTCCTGTGCATGCGTATGTAGCAACAGATGATGCTGCACTGCAGTCTTTTTTTTTTTTTTCACTCCTTTTTTTTTTTTTCGGATGTTGTAAACTACATTTTAGTGTATGCAAGAATGTAGAAATTGCCTCAGTGTCTGCTTCCTCTGAATGACTGTGGAAATGCCTGAGCATCATCTTTAGTATCTTATAAATGATGGTCTATTGTGGGGGGATCACTTGGGAAGAAAAATGTTGGGTGGATTTCTTTTGCAACAGTGAGGGATTTCTTTGGAGTTGGATTTTTGTACTGGATTGTTGGGTGTTTTGGAGGTGAGGTGGTGTGGGGTTTTGAGCAAATTGTAGACTGGGAGATTCAGACTTTGGAAAACCAGCACTTCAGAAAACTTAACTTGATACCCTATTCTTATGTTTTTCACGCAAGCTAAGTAACCTGTTTTGTTTAGTAGTAAATCGCAGAACTCCAAACTGATCTGAAAAGCAGGGGGTAATATCTACATATGCATAGTTGCAGTGGTAATTTTGGACAAAGATCATCTACTTTTTAGTTCTTTTTTTAGGTTAGAAGTTTTAGGAATGCAGCAGATGGGAATTTTGCCCATACTTTGTAAAAATGGCATGTAGAAGTTGAATTCTCAGCATAATTAGAATAGAATCGTTGTTTTCTTGATCTTGCAAAAAAAGTTTGGGTGGGGGAAAAAGTAATAGAAAAAAAATGACGTCGATAAAAGCAATGTGCTGTTGATTTCTGTGCTGTGATGTATGAAAGCCTAGATTGTTTTAGAATCTTCTGTCATTTATCAGTAGCAATCTGGGATGGTCATACTTATACAGAAAGTCTTCAAAATGTCAAATTGGAGATATTTTATATCTTAATTCTGAGCTTATATGGCTAAAATATAATTATTTTCTATTTAGACGATTGACTTACAGAAGAACAGTGGGCACTTTGCAGAATCCCAGAACTGTGAAGAAACCATTATGTAAGTCTGTACTATTCCTTTAGTGATGTCTTAATTGATACCAAATTCTCAGTATTTTTCTGTTATTTCAGTGATAATGTGTTTAAATGTTTTGTGTAGTCTGCCATTGATTGATTTGCATGGATACAAGCTGCCACATGAGAGGATCTGGGTTTAAGCTTTATCTAAGCTAATATTGCTAGTGCCTACTGTTTTCAAAAAACATGGTTGTCCCTCTCTTCCTGAACACATTGTTCAGATGCTTTAAAATTTGCTTGTGGTCACATTTTTTTTTTTTTTTTTTTTTCTTGTGGTTTGAGACTTGGAAGCTGCAAAATTAATCCAAAATGCACACTTCTTGAAATTCTTACATAAGTACATTAAATGACTCTAAGCTCATATGAAAATGAACTGTAGCTTTAAGGAAGATAAAAAAAAAAAAAATCACTGGAGCTAGCAACACCATCTGCATTTAGTGTTACAGTGCTGGTGTTAGTAGACTTTGAAGTGATTTTTGTTTGTAGCTCTGAAGTCTTTCAGTGAATGATTCACACAAAAACTGCTAATTTTGGTGATTTTGCTAGTTAGCAATGAAAAGCCGAAGACATTCTGGTTTTCTCTCAGAGCATAATGCTTCTGTTGCTCTTAGGTACTTCAGCACAGCTGTTGTTGTGTGGGGCAGCCCCGTGACTGTGTGAAGTCAGACTCTATGCTAAGAGTGCCACCCTCATGTAGACTAGGAATCTGGAAATTGTCCTTTCTCAGTGATATAAATGAACTTCTGACCCACAGTCAGAAGTTATAAAATAGTATTACTAATTTAAATGAAGCTTTTCCAAATTGGTTTCCATTACATGCTGCGTTAAGAGGCATGTAATTAAGATTGCTACTTAGGCTTTTTCCTCAGATGTTCTCAAGACAATTAAGCAGATAACTGGTCATATACTAAGTTTTTGCAACAAATCAGCTGATAAGGACATGTTCCTGCATTTTTTTTAAAATAGAAAAGCCTATTCAGCAAATCATACCAGAATAACCTTCCTTTCCATTCCCTCTAATTTTACTCAAATATTTGCCAGTCTTTTAATATCATGCCAACTCTGCCTTTCATGCTAACTACAGATGATCAGACTTCTGATAAAGGTAGGTACTCTGCTAACTGATTTTCTGTCTGAATATGAACAACCAATGCATTTTCTAAAATATTTGCTAAGCTCACAAGCAAAGGGAATAGTAGATATAGAAATTGCTTGTTCCTACAGCAATTTCTTCCTGAGTTACTTTAGCTAATTTAATTTTGGATTGATGACTTAGTTAATAACTTCCAAATTTACTCCTGATTCAAGAGAAAATATTTGTCTTCTGATAGGTATTTACATGCTCTGTAGCTTTCTGAAAGTTGCAAGTTAAATAGCAGACAAAGACTTGCATTTTAAAAAAAAAAAAAAAAAATATTTGAGTTCAACATTTTAGGCTACCTATATCAATCCAAAATAGTTTTCTTCACTGATTATTTGGACTGCCTTCTATGTTATTTTCATTACAAGCAGCTGTGTGGATCTCACGCAGTTTATATGTCACTGTACCACATGCCTTTTTAAACAGCAGATACTTCGAATTCTGCATGCTGTTAATTTTTTTCATATAAGACATGCTTCTTGTGAGTAATATTCCAAGTATTGGTGTTCTATCAACTTTAGTGAAAGTATTAATCATGCTCTATAATTAGCTGTCTGTGACTGGTATACCCTGTGAAAGCATGAGTATGAAACTAGAGCCTACCTTCAAAAACAGAAAAAAGCTCTGATCTAATTTTGATCTAATTTTTTTTGATCTAATTTTTTTTTTTTCTGCCTAAAGTTTAATGAGACAGGTATCCTTTTATGAAGTGTGACAATTCAGTATTTGTCTTAAGATTACAGTATTTTTCAGTTAAGTGTCATGGGTTTATTTTGCATTCTTTTAGGGGCCTTGGGGATGGTCATAATTTGAGGAGGGGTAGATTGACTTTTTTAACATAGATCTGTGTATTATTTTACATGCATATGACAAAAGCTAATATTTGTTAGAATCTTGTGTGTGTGTAATGCAGGATATAAAACTCCTTCCCCCACCAATGAGCCAAACTCATATCACAGGCACTGTTTAAGATACCTCCCTCCTTTCCTCTCACTCTCTCACTTTCCCTGTGCTCTTACTTCCTGCCCTACCATTCCCCCACCCCAACCTGCTTTTAATTTACAGAAGACTGTGACTGCGAAGGATATTTCAACGGACAGTACATAGGTGAGAGACCAAAATCCCTTTCCTTTTCCCTAACGACTTCCTGAAAAAAAGATGAAAAACACTCTCATAAACCACACCCAAAAAAACCACCTCCACTTTAAAATATAAAAATAGCTTATTTACATTACTGGTAATTTCCCAATTGTTCATGAACTAGTTTGTCTCTGTGCAGGGGCATAATTGGACTTTGGCAGATCCAACAGTTGACAACTAAAGGGGGTATGAAGCTTTTTTATTATAGCTTGGGTGCCTGGTTTTCTACCTAATATGCAAATTTTTCAACTATAAGATTAGCATATGTATACTGATTTGATTACAGAAAAAAACTTGTAACTCATATTCGAAGAGAGTAACTTCTAGCTGAACAAGCTTGAAACTTTAGGTTAGTGGAGGCAGGTTTTGTTTTCCTCTGCAGCTGGCTTACGCAGGAGCTTTAGACTGAGTCGTAAAGAGAAGGAAAATAATCTGAATGAGAGAAAGCAAGCAGAGCAGGCAGATACAGCAGAGTGCCTAACATATGAAGAAGTCACAAAATATCAGCATCAACCTGGTGAACAGCAGAGGCTGGTGGTTTTGATTGGTAAGATACACTGTTGGTTCCAAATTTTTTTTTTTTTTTTTTTCCTTTATCACCTCCACTACAAGAGGCTTATTTCAGGTGTTTGGTTTTGGTTTTTGTGTTTCTAGTGCAATTTTTTTTTTTTTTTAGTTTTTTTCTGGTTTTGTTCAGAAGTTATTTTCTTTTAAATGATAATGAAAAAAAACTCACAAAATCATTCTAAAAATAATGATGCAGGATTATTTCACATTTTTTCTGACTTGCATTCCAGTAGCTCTCACTCAAGCATGTGCATACTTACACTGTCAGAACAATTGATTAAAAGGTAGACATTAGAATTATCTAACAATTTTGCATGCAGTTGTCATTTGTGTTAAGCCAGTTTCCAAGGATATCCTAGAAATCAAGGCTATCTCATCAAACCAATGGCTAAGTTTATTGATTTTCTGACTTAGTACCTGGCAGATGTTTGTCCAGCAGCTGTTCAAGGATTCAGTTTGTTCCTGATGTTCTTCAAAGTAGAATATGGTGGGTTATGAGATCTCATGTACAGATTTCTTCAAGCACTCTCCTGTACAATGTTATTTGTGTGAAATTGACATTATTTATTCTCTTTGTAGTATTTCATTCCACACAGAAATCTCAGTCAGTTCTATTTTATCAGGTTGTTTGGGGGCCAAATTAAGTGAGCTCAAACAGAAGGTTGTGTCAGAGAACCCACAGGAGTATGGTGTTGCGGTTCCACGTGAGTAATACAGACTTTTTTGCGTTGTCAATTTAGTCCATATGTGTTGTCCAATAGTGTAGTGCCAGCCGCACTGATAAATGGTAATTTGTTTCAGCTATTGATTATATGCATATTTCAAAATACTTCGAATTCTTTTTCAACATTGTAATTATACTTTGCCCTTAATAGCTGAAAAGATCACTATGTAACTTGGCACATACGGACTTTGGAATTCTATAAACCCAGTTGACTTTTTGAATTGTATTTTCCCAACTGAACCCATTACATTTTCTCAGTGTCCATTTAAAAAAAGAAACTAAATTCAGAAAGAAAAAATAAGATCATATATTGGAAAGAAGCCAAAACAGTGTGTTTTGAGCATGACTTCTTATTCAGAATATCATACCAGCTAAAGTTTAAAAAAAAAAAAAAGGCCACCAAACCAACCACCCCTACCCACCATCAATAAACCAATTCAAATTTTTTACAAGATTACTAAATTGGTATATGTTGGCTGTTGAAACAATTAGTGATTGTGCTGGATGGCTTTATGGCTAGGGATACACTGGAGTTTTTTTGCTGGATTATTATCTAGAAAAATATTAGACAAAAAAGAACCCATCAATATTTGTATTCTTCAACAAGCTACTTTTGCCACCCAAAAGATTAACATCGAGGGCACTGTTCATATGTTATTTAAGACTTTACTGGAAGTAAACAGAAAAAATATTTGTTTGCAAAGGGTGATCTATCTCCCGTGTTTTGCTTTCATTCTCTTCTAGATACAACCAGGTCAAAGAAAAGTCATGAGAAAGAGGGAGTAGAATACAATTTTGTCTCTAAGCAATCCTTTGAGACCGATGTGCAGCAAAACAAGTGAGTCAATTTTAAAATACTGGCATAACTGACTATTTCAGAAATACTGCTAGTTGAATCTTACATCAGATGAACACCAAAATTTGGTGTAAAGTTGGCCTAACAGTATTAGAAGGATTCACCTTTCCAAGTAAAAAGCTTATTATTCAGTCTGGACTGTTAGTAACAAGCAATTTAGAAACAACATAGAACTAGTAGAAGGTTCATAAGTTAGAATCTAAGCCTGCATATTGTAAATAGTATGATTAGTCAGATTTCAATCAAATGAATGTAACATATATTTAGTTGGGCCTACTTATTTTTCATTTAATATGATGGGTGACCAGTGTTATTCATAAGTCCACTTTAAAGTGTGTTATAGACTGAATCAATGGATATAAAGTCCTTTCTGTAAAGATAGTGTGTTTCCTGCAAGTATGGGGTTTTGGCTTGTCTCCCAGAAGATGGAAGAGTTTGAGTCCATATCCTTGACATCTTTTCTATTGTCTATGGAAAACATTGTCTTTCCTCTATTAGGCTTGAATATCAAACAACAGAGTTAATGTAGCTTCTTCCCCTATTTGTCAGTAGTCCTGAAGAGCTATAGAGATATGTGGAGACTGTTGCTACCAACCAGAAGGAAGAAATATAATGAGAAAAAATAACCCCTTTTTTTTCCTTCCCCTGATTTTCCACTCTTCCCTCCCCACCCCTGGTATTTGACTGCTGTGACTTCAGGAAATGTTTTAAGTTGAATATTCTTTGTGGATGGTATTTTCAAATGTATTGACTTTCTAGATTTGTGGAACATGGAGAGTACAAAGAAAATCTTTATGGTACAAGTCTTGAGGCAATCCGGTCCGTGATGGCCAAAAAGAAGGTTTGTTTGGTGGATGTGGTACCTGAAGTAAGTTCTGCAACTTATTTTAAAGAAAGCGAGTATTTCTTACTAGGCTGTCAGCCTAAGTGATGTTTTTAGCCATTTGTGGCTACATGCCTTGCAAAGAACAATGATGCTCTCAGAACTTGTTTCTCAAGGTGGCCTGACTGCTAGTTAAGTGGAAGAGGGCTCTTTAAACACTGCAGTGGTTTCTGTGGGTCCTAGATGTCTATTTAATACAGGCTAGATAACACTTTATCAGTTCTCACTGTGGAATTATTTTTTTTTTTTTAGCCTTGCTGCAGGAGAAATGTGCATCATTGTCCCAGCCTTCTCAAGTGCTAGAAAAAATACTTGAGTATGAATGAGTTTTTAGTTCTTGTTCCTTACAATTGCTTCTGAAGCATTACTAGTATTGTAACCAGTGCCAGTGTATCTGCACTTAATCCCTCTGTACTTGGACTTATCTTTGAAATTTTGATTCAGATTTTTAACTGAGCTAGGGGAAAACTTGTTATACTAGATGAATTCCAGTTTTAAAATTTCCTGTCCATAGCCTCTTAAGTGAAGCAAACCATAACTTGCCTGTTAAGTAAATTTGGTTTTTATTTTTCATCTATTAGTATATTTTGCCATGTCCTTGTTCCTGGTGTCCCAATGCATAGCAAGGTAGGTGTGCACTTAGACCATGCTCCAGGAAGCCAGTGTACTCATGTAAGCTATTCAGGACGCTGACATTAACCTTTATTGTGAAGAGCAAAATGTTACTGTGGTCATATGTATAGTACGCAGGACTTCACACCACAGCGTATGCTAGTGAAACTGTTGAACCCAGCTTGAGTAGATCACTGACATACAACAAAAAAAAAGGTGTAACAAAAATAATCTGTTCACAGGCAGTAAAGCACTTGAGAACTCCGGAGTTTAAGCCTTATGTTATCTTTGTGAAGCCTTTCATTCCAGAAAAGAAAAAACATGTCCTAAAATCTCCTATGTCAGAAGAAATCTCAGCCCCCCTTGTAAGTATTCTAACTTTCATGTCTGAAATGAAAAGATTAAAGAAGTATTTGGGCTAGTATTTCAATGATATGGAAGAGCCCATCTTCCGTGACAGCAAGGGTCAGTGTGGGACACAGTAGGTCCTGTGCACATAAAGCTTTTCATTTGGAGCTTTAAAATGACATTTTTGACTCCCTTAAAACTTAACTGTAAGTAACGTGAAGCATGTAGATCTGTGTTCATCACTCAGGGCTGCAGCAGAGGAAGCTGCTACTGAACTCTGATAAACCAATAATCATTTTACAGCCCCATCAAAGGGTAAGGGGAACCACCTATTCCTGATACCTCCAGAGTGACACCCACCCATGCTGTTAATCTGGTATATGCAAAGTTCAGTATGTGGATGTTTTACAAGGATCAAAACTAGACCAGCTGCAAATTGATGTGTAAATGTGAACAGAAATACTGAGCGTATCATGTCATTACTTCAGGTAACTGGATGTTGAATTTGTATGTAACAGAACTTAGTTCACTTCCTAAGTTTTCATGTGAGCCCTTAAAATTGCTGAACTTGAGTAGTGTGCGTCCAGCATTCCTTTTCAATGTTCAAGCGGTGTGATTTCCAGGTGTTAGGTTAGGCAATGACTCTAACTTTGTAAAGTGCAGTGTCACCATTTTACATCCCTCCTGTAACATGGTGGGTTTCTTACCCTGACTATCATGTCTTGAATTTTTGAAACAGCCTACCAGATTCCAGCAGTAGCATACTACTCCTTGTTCTCAGTTGTAATGTCTTTCTTACATACCCTTTCCTAATGGTGGCATCTCTTGTTTAATTTCTTTTCAACTTGATGATTTACTGTTGAATATACTTTAGAATGTTAGTAATTGAAAATATGTGCTGTAAATTTCATACCATCTTCTTGTGTTGATCAGCAGGATGAAGAACAGCAGGAAATTATTAATTCTGCAGCATTCATTGAGGAGCAGTATGGCCATTTAATTGACACTGTACTGGTGAAAGAAGATCTCCAGAGTGCATTTAATCAGCTGAAAACTGTGTTAGAGAAACTAAACAAGGATTCATTTTGGGTGCCAGTCAGCTGGGTTAGGTCATAGCTTGTTATCATCTATTTAAATGAGAGTTTGTATAAAAATCTTGTAAATACAGAGTATAGAAAAGTGAAATATGTCAAATCCACTTCAAAACTGCTGGTCTATCTAGGATGTAATACGTAAAGATGGTATAAGAAAAACTAAAAGTGGGAAGCTGACACTACCTCCCTGAATCAAAATCTTGAGTAGCAGCTATGAAATTAAGGGACTAAAAGTGAAAGAAATGAAGTTCACTCATAAAAGTTAATGCTCAGACTAAATAGATTTGTAAAAGCTTGGAGTGACTTTTAGACTGTAAATAGTGCATTTTGTACAGTAAGATTTCAGAGGGGCTGCACTTCCACAGCATTTCAGTAGTGCTAGGACACTAACCAGCTGGAATTTTAATGCTCTTGCCACAAATTCTGTGGCTGAAATTAAGGCATCTGAACAAGGTATGTTTTGGAATCCAGTATATATACAGAATAAGCTACTTGAGCGTGGTGGGAGGGTCCTTTTGGAGAGTGCTTACACCATGTCCATTACTCTAAAAGTTCAACGGGCTGTCAGGCCAGCAAAACATTCCCTTCACTCAGGATTATTTGCAAATGTTTTCCAGTTAGCCACTAGAACTAGGCCAGTTATGTAAGTTGTAGATATTTTAGTGACAGAGAGATGAGGGGTTTTCTTTTCTTGTGTCCATCCCATATTTCTCAATGCCTCCAAGTTGTCTTGCACAGGTGTTGTTCTGTTCATCCACATAGCTTGTACCCGCTTTGCCAGTCTCTTCTTACTGACACAGGACAAATGTTAACCTGTGAACACACCTGTGTGACTAGCCAGTTCATAAACCAGAGACATTTTTTAGTCTACATGAAAATAACTGCATATGATTTAAAATAGGACTTCTAAGAAGCATTTTCTACAAGATGTTTTTGCAAATGCCACCCGATTGGATACCACTGTGTCACCAACATAGCAGCTCCAGAAAGGGTTGCTTGGAGGAGGCTTTAGTTCCATGTAGCTGAGCTCCAAGTCTAAATCATCCTTCCAGTGTTTATGACTGCTTAGTTCCAAAATGGGTAAAGGCTTCCAGAGCATCTAATTGGCTACATTAAGTCATGAAGAAGGAAACTGTTCTATGTATTTCAGGAGGCTTGAATATACAGGCTTTTTAGATGGGTGTTAATAAAAAAAAAAAAAAATGCAGAGAGGTGATTCTGGAAGGCCCTATGCTCTATAATTATTTGGAAAAAGTATTGTACAGGTGCATGTTAGCTGCAACTCATTCCCATTTTCCTGTGCCTGCTGAGGTCTAATCTTTCTCATGTATTGTGCCCTTTGAAAAGACCAGTCTCATTTCCTTGCATCGTAACAGTATGATGTTATTGTTCAGCAGAAGACTGCATTTAGCAGAACTAACATTACCTATTAAAGGCACGTTTCTTATATACCAGTGTCACTGAATCTACATTAACTCTAGCTAAAAAAGTTGTGTAGGACAGTCACCTTTAGCCATCTTCTCCAAATGTGCACCCTGGCAGATTTCACATATTGTCCTGGTTGTAGGCATTGATGTTCCCACTCCTGCAAGAATAAGGACTTTTCAGTCAGGTATCTGCTCTGGCTTGTCAGAGCAGTTATGCTGCCAGACTGGTGGCCTCAGCAAATGTACAAGGACTCCTTCACATGCAGGTGGCTCATCAGCTCTACCATTAACTCTGCAATATTGTTCAAGCACAGCTACCAAGAGTAACATGGGTTAAAACAGCCTACCTAATTCTCTTGTGAGGAGATAAGGGCTAGTGTAGCAGTCTGATTAAAGTGCTGGGTGTTCTGCCATTAAATTGCTATAGGTTGTCATTAGGGCTAATGAGGCCCTGTAAAAAAAAAAACAGTAATTAATAGAAGTATGCACCATCCCTTTTTTTTTTTTTCCCCCTACCCTTACACATACAATGATTTTTGTACACCAATGGTTTAACACTCTTAGTCAAGTCTTCTGTAGGAGACTATATAACACTTTTTTAATACAGACTGTATGTTCTTCTACCTCGTACCTGAGAATATACCACAGGTTAGTGATCCCTACAGCTCTTTAATGTACAATATTTTAATGATCTTTGCCTTTTTCTAAAGAAAAGCTTTTTCATACTAAACATATCTTAGGTACTTTGTATCCCATTCAACACAAAGTTCAAAACAGGGTCATCATCATCAGCTACCTTTTACAAACAGGTATCCCAGCTGCTTCACATTTGAGGCATTAATACACTAAAATACTACTTCATACTGTTCGTACAGAAAAACGTGTAGAGAACCTGAGGAGTGGTGAGGAAAATAAGGGACAGTTAGAAAGATGCTTTCCCCTTACAGTTGTCATGCCTAATTGAGTACAGCTCATCAATAAGATTTGTCTCAGAGAGGGGAAAAAAAGGCTAAAATTATAAATGGTAAAACTAGTGAGCTTCTCAAGTTCCTAACTGGTAAGCTGAAAAGACGTGGGGAAAAGAAACATAAAAACCAAACAGCACAACATGCCTAGGATTCCATGACTTCCTAAACTTTCAGTTAAAAGTTGTTTGGGGCTGTTACTGAAATCAGGTTTCAATTCTGTAATGTAAAGGCAAGGTTGTTGTTCTCAAGACCTTTTCATAAAGAAACAGCACTGTGGTTTATTCTGCCGTAACAAGTATTTTTACTTACGTGAGTAGACCATAGGAAGCTTAATTCTTGAATGTAATATACTGGCACATTTTCTTTATACTAAAATTCTGGCAATATTTATTGAGAATAACAATAAAATTTTCCCACATAGGCATCCCTGCAACCCAAGTTTCTAGCTTAGTTTTATTCTAGAAAATGCTTCCCTTGCTCCTTTTATAAATACCTAATGCTTTCTTATTGCTTTCAGAATTAACATAGTCTTTCCTAGCTCAGTGTACAGTTGATTAAATAGGATGCTTTTAAAATTATAGCTAACAACATTTTAGTTTGAAGCTATATTTATGTAAAAAATTAAAGTACATCCCTGCCAATCAGTCTCAGCATTCTTGATCATTGTTAGGCTTACAGTCAACAAGCCTCTTCAAAATACCTTGGTTTCATTATTTTCCTGTTCTGCTTGCCTTTACTTGAGCTATTAAAAAAAATTGAACCCATCTAAAAAGACAGTTCCCAGATAATGAAATTATATTTGTAAGGCGTGTATAGATATAGTTGTAAGTGCCCATGGTCAAACAAACTCATTATCTGCTCTCATAGACATGCATCCCCCAGAGCAACAGTTCAGTGAATCCTGTAATCTGGCATTGGCTTCAGTCTACATTTCTGTAACAGTAAAGGTTTAACAGCATGTTAAAGGTATCACAACTCTTTAACAGTTCTGTCTGAAAGCAGACTTCTGCCTACATAACTTTTAGAGCATTCACAACTGCAGGCACCACACCACAGATTAGGTAGTCTCATATGTGAAGATGCAGAAGCATAACTGTATGTGGAAACAAACTAGCAACAGAACTGCTGCTGTGGAGAAGCAATGATACACTGGAAGGCACAGGCTACTGCTTGGAATCCCCCACCTCTTTTTTTAAAAAAATAAACACAAACCACAAAAAAAAATCCACTCCAGACAGAACAGCCATCTGCAGATTTTTAAAAAGTGGACAGTATGCACCACAGAAGCTTTTGTCCTGGTGTGCTTAAGATTCCATTAGCTGCAATCTGGCCTTTTCTGTGCTTTTATTCCAAAGACCTGGTGTCTGCAGAATCTTTATGACTAGTTCTTCAAAGGCATGTTGCACTCCATCCTGTGTCTTGGCACTGGTCTCTGGTGGAGGAATGGAGGGAAAAAAAAAAGCAGGAGGGGGAGGAAGTATTTTATCTTACTTGCAGGGTGTACTCTATAAGCAGGGGTTTTTTTGACCAGAGAGAAGATTCAATTTTTTTGAGTGAGTGGACCTCTCTGTTCTTCCTAAAAGGTATATTTTAGTTGAATATGATAAATAGAAATGCATCTCTGTCAGAAGCTTCTCACTTCCCCAACTAAAAAAAATTTCCATAGCTCCCCCTTCTCTCTATAACAGGGAAACAGAAATAATTCTCAGGTTGTGACAGTAAATTTACAAGATAATTATTCCATAACTAAGATGAGAAACAAAGAATGCAGAGGGAATTGCAGGTTTTCCCCAATGCATTTGTTCCAGTTCCTTCTGGGAATCTTGTTAAGCATCACTTAAAAAGTAAGTTTAAAAAAAAAACACCAAAAAAAAACCACCAAAACCACAGCAAACCAAATAAAAACAACACTTACCCACCAAAACAACACACTCAGCAATTTTTTCCAAGTCTTCACATTATATATTTTATTGTTGATCTAAGAATATTGCCTTTTATGAAGCTGCAGCTGAAACTTTGAAACAAAAATAAGATTACCGAAGATCCTTGCTGATATCGGTCAAGAGAAAAATTCCCGTCTTCTGGGTTCTGAATTTAAAAATCCTGCTTGTTTCTTGAGAGTGTCAAATTATGCCTACACAATAAATTAAGTAAGTCTCTCAGAGAAAAGTACTTTGAATTGCAGTCAAAACAGCATCTCTGGCTAAAGTTAAAACCTACATCCATGCATATGAACTAATAGAACAAAAGGAACCCATGTTAAGGAGGTACTAAAAAGAAAAAGTAAATCAGCCTGAAATACAATTGTACACTTCATTATGCCTAGCAATACCAAAATAAACACGAATAGGTGTCTGGCACAGAGTTATGTACTTATAAAAAGCAGTGAGTGTTTCATAGCAAACTGGAGTCCTCTCTACTTCACGATCAGGCTGCAGAGAGTGAAAAACATAACTAAAATAAGCTTCAGTTACTACAAAAACATCACTGCAGAAGTGAAGTTTTGCTGGGGGGGGGGGGGGGGGGGGTAAAACACACACGGGGGGGGAATAAAACCACCATAAAACTACATAGCAATCAACAACTGGATTTTCCCACTCTACAGCCAGCTTACTGCTGGGCAGGATGTTAGGGAGTAAAATTGAACAGCAGCAACACGAAATCAGTAGGAAATGAATGTGTTTCTATCTTCCAAATCAACTACAAGCAAGTTACAAGCCAGAAAGGAGGTTTCAAGTAGTCAAATAGCTGATAAGACTTATCAAAGCATCTGAAAACTGACAGATTTGGAAGGGGGCAGAATAGGACCTAGTTCAGGATAGCCACACTGGAAGCTTCTTGCATAATGAGATGGTTCACTGTCACTTTACAGCTCACATCTAAGATATGTTTAAAACATACCCGAAACGTACAGCAACCAGTGCACCTCACACCCACACAGATCCATCCTAAAGCCACCTGAATAGCTGAACTCTTCCACACCACCTGTCCAAAACACAGTCTGGTCAAAAAGAAAGCAGCAGTTGCGCCACTGCACTTCAGTGGTATACAGCAGTTGTTAGGTAGAACCTCTCACTGTCTTAGAAGAATCTCTCTCATCAATTGCACCTCTCCAGGACAGTTTCATATTAACGTCTTTAACAAGATCTGCTTCTAAAATAACATAGTAAGAGCATATCACCTCTTCACACAACAGACGTGTTAGCTTCAGCACTTAGCTCACATTTATACTCTATTGGGATCGGGTAGTCTGTGGAAGAGCATAAGAGAATACATTTGTAAATTGACCTTTTCAGTTTTACTGCCAGCTAACATCTTCACAGTGTTGCTTTTGGTAGTATACGTTTCCAGATCATTCAGCCATCTCTCTAGTCCCACAAAAGTGTCTTTTCTTGTAACATCATATACTGGTAACAGAGGAAAAGGAACTTTAACAGCTGTAAAGTCTATAACAATATTTACCTCATTAAGGCAGAACTTAGTCCCTATTAGCTAACTGCTGCCCTGAAAAAAATAAGCAGTATTAGGGAATTACAGAAAGATGCATCAACTGTATCTTCTTCCCACAGCTGGAACATATTGGCTGTCCTCACTTGAAGTCACCAAGGATTACAGAACATAAGCATCTCTGCAATAGATCTGTGAGAGGAAATCAGACATATGAGTCTTATGCTTGTTACTAGTTCTGAACTGGACCACACAGAATATTTTAAAATACATAATCATCTCATTTCCTGTAGAACTAAATGTTGCTGCTAAAAACACGATTCTGAATAAAAAGTTACTTTCCATCACTGGTAACTTTATAACTGCATTCACTTAATCACTAAGGTTCAGAAAGTTGCATAATGGAATATTTTGTATAAGATGTTCAGCCTTCACAATCCCCAAGAATAAGAATCCCTTCTTTTTCTAATTGGTGATGTCATACAGAAAGGGAATAGCCATCCATTACTTGTGCTATAAACCTCATCACATCACTAGTTTTAGTAAAAATAAATAAATAAATAAATAAATAAATAGAAAACATCATGGGGGGAAAATAGGCTGACACAAATCCCAATTTGCCTTATTATCATAAATTCAAAGTAATAACCACAAAGCTAGTAATTCAGCCTCTGAACAGCTTGTAGTGTGACATCTCTGTATTTTTAATTTGAATTATTTTGAAGAAGTATCATTTCCTGCCAGTGGTTTTATATACTTAGTGTTTGAACTAATGATGCAGTAATGTAAAAACCAGAACTGTTCCTCCAATTTCCTCAGACAACCTGCTTTTGTAAAAACACGTGTGTTTAGATAGTTATAAAGACCACACTATTTGTAATCATGTTTTTTCTTCCATATACCTCCTACCTAGCTCAACCCCTTATGCTCCTCAGTGATAACTGGGAGTCAGTGTTCTAAAGCACTCCTGACCTGCTGTGTCCTACAGAGAAAAAAAAAACAAAACCCACCAACTACACAAAACCAAACATATTTTAAACATATTTTAAGGTATTCTAAACTACACAAGATAGACAAAATTAATTTTTTCCTGACCAATAAGGATACACGAAACCATAAAACAGAATGAGGGAAACAGAAAACATTAGCTGCAACAACAGAAAACAGATAAGAAGGGGTAGAAAAACATGGAGAGGACTCAACTGAAGGTTAAAGCAATAAGCACAGAAGTACAGACACCTGTAACACAAGTGAGGCAATAAGAAAGTCAATGGACTCAAGAGAAATACACAGAAGGCTACTGTTGCAAACCAAGCAGTAGGTCTTAATCAGTTAATAATCAACTGCACTGAATGAGGAGGAATAACTGGTTTTCCAGTGAGAGATGCTGCAGGAGAGGAGACACAGTGGTTCCAAAAGTCTTCCTTTGCTCCTCCACAGCAGCAAAGGAGAATCCAGTTAGAAAGATTTTCTTCAAGTTTGCTAAGACTCTAAGCAGATAAGAAATTTAAAATCAGTAGTTTTGTTCAATTATTATTGCAGGATGTCAAATATTCTCAGGAATCTTTGAAATAACTCCTAAGAGCAACATGAAATTCAAAAATCCTCAGAATAATAACGAGGCAAAACAGTTACACAAATATGACTGTTACCAAAAAATTATTAGAATTTATGTACAGGTTACAATACAGAGACTAACGGTTATGTTAGAACTTATTTATTCTTTGTTAAAACAAAAAAATTAAAATTGGCAACATATCCGCTTAATCTGGGACATCATTACTAAGGAGATTGTACTCTTAGGTATCTATGCACACATGGACATTATGGCAGAAGCCACGTTTTGACCTTGATGCACTGTATGTGCCTTAAAGTTTTTATTTAGCATTATACAACTGCACTGTTTTTTTTCCACCCTACCTGGCAGTTTCTCCTGATGCTGTTACAGACTGATGCAAAAGTGCCTTTCCCAGCTATACAACTTATGTTAAGTTTTGGTCTTGCTTTTGATTCCACAGCAAGGAGACACACCCCTGTATGACTGGTTATACATCATATCTTGGTTACTCTCAGAAAACTTTCTGCTTCATGTGCAGCATGTTTGGAGCACAGACTATGTATGGTCACTGGCTAGAACAAGTGTGACCTTATTGCTCTTACTTTGCATTCTGTACACAAAGTGTGAATGAAAACAAGAAAATAATTCAAGCTTTGGCATTTGTATTACTTTTGTTAATGCCAGTCCAAGGCACATTTGTGCTCTCTTTCCAACAGTCCAAATTACTTAAAAAGTAATAGCATGTAATAATTTCTCAAATACCTATGACCCTACACGTAAAACCTCTTCCTTCTTAGGGCTTTTTAATTCCAGTTAGAATAATAAATGTGGTAATTTCATGTTATAAATAACTCTCATCACACAGCTACAATGAGATGTCCCAGACTGCAGACACTGGAAATATAACATCAGGAAGTTCAGGACAAATGCTCAAAGCAAATCTGAAGCAACTTTTAAACAGTTCAGGACCAAGTACATATACTTTTTTTCCCCCATTAATTTAACCAAAATAAAGCATCTGGACTGTTTCTGGCATAGTATACACAGAGTTGTTGCATAGCCCCTACAGGAAATCATGCAACTCATCATCCAGAACATCACTTTTCTGCAGTTTACTTAAGTGCTGTTTGTCCTGGGTGAGCTTCTGGGTCATAGAGGTACGAAATACCCGCCACAGCTACATCTTCACAAGTCTAACACTACAAAGAGGGAATGAAAAACCTAGTTATAGTGTAAGTGAAAAAAAGAGCAATCAAAATCTCAACTAGAATTGAAGGAAGACACGAATCTAAAGCAATGAAGTATTTATGCATAAGTGTTTTGAAAAAAAACCTTCCCTGCAACCACTGTTGTACAATCATAACAGACACTATGTGCATTTGCATAATCTCAACATGCAGAAGACTTCAGCAAGGCGAGGAGGGAAAGGAAGGGTGGGGGAGAATCACAAAAAAGAAGCTCTTGAAGTTCTCACCTCTGTCGAGAATAAAACCTATTTATATCTTTCTGGAACAAAACCTACCCATATTGCAAGCTGTACTGCATGGCCGTCGGCAATCGTTTCCTTAATTTTAAAATCAACACCTAGGACGTGAGAAGAAGAGAAGGCTTGTCAGAAGGAACTGGCGAATGCCCGCGCTCGAGCCGGCTCCCTTCCCCCGAACCCCGCAGGCTCTCGCACGATCCCAGCGCCCCACCGCGACACAAATGAACACCGGCAAAAATGTCCCCAGCAGCTCGGGGGCGGACGGATTCCGGACTCACGGACAGCGGGTTTCAGGCACGGCTCAAACGCACCGTCAGTGAACCTCGGCACGAGGCTGTGAGCAGCGAAACCGAGAACTCTACCCG